GTCTGCTTTCTTGGCCAGTTTAGCTTTGGCAGATCTTTCAGAAAAGCTCGTCCCGTCAGCCGACTTTTCGTCTAAGGTTTTCTCGGCGTTGTCATCCTGGAGGTCTGCTTTCTTGGCCAGTTTAGCTTTGGCAGATCTTTCAGAAAAGCTCGTCCCGTCAGCCGACTTTTCGTCTAAGGTTTTCTCGGCGTTGTCATCCTGGAGGTCTGCTTTCTTGGCCAGTTTAGCTTTGGCAGATCTTTCAGAAAAGCTCGTCCCGTCAGCCGACTTTTCGTCTAAGGTTTTCTCGGCGTTGTCATCCTGGAGGTCTGCTTTCTTGGCCAGTTTAGCTTTGGCAGATCTTTCAGAAAAGCTCGTCCCGTCAGCCGATTTCTCGTCGAAGGTTTTCTCGGCGTTGTCCGCCTGAAGATCGCCTTTCTTGGGGAGCTTGACTCTGGCAGATCTCTCAGAAAAGCTCGTCCCGTCAGCCGACCTTTCGTCTAAGGTTTTCTCGGCGTTGTCATCCTGGAGGTCTGCTTTCTTGGCCAGTTTAGCTTTGGCAGATCTTTCAGAAAAGCTCGTCCCGTCAGCCGACTTTTCGTCTAAGGTTTTCTCGGCGTTGTCATCCTGGAGGTCTGCTTTCTTGGCCAGTTTAGCTTTGGCAGATCTTTCAGAAAAGCTCGTCCCGTCAGCCGATTTCTCGTCGAAGGTTTTCTCGGCGTTGTCCGCCTGAAGATCGCCTTTCTTGGGGAGCTTGACTCTGGCAGATCTCTCAGAAAAGCTCGTCCCGTCAGCCGACTTTCGTCTAAGGTTTTCTCGGCGTTGTCATCCTGGAGGTCTGCTTTCTTGGCCAGTTTAGCTTTGGCAGATCTTTCAGAAAAGCTCGTCCCGTCAGCCGACTTTCGTCTAAGGTTTTCTCGGCGTTGTCATCCTGGAGGTCTGCTTTCTTGGCCAGTTTAGCTTTGGCAGATCTTTCAGAAAAGCTCGTCCCGTCAGCCGACTTTCTCGTCGAAGGTTTTCTCGGCGTTGTCCGCCTGAAGATCGCCTTTCTTGGGGAGCTTGACTCTGGCAGATCTCTCAGAAAAGCTCGTCCCGTCAGCCGACTTTCTCGTCTAAGGTTTTCTCGGCGTTGTCATCCTGGAGGTCTGCTTTCTTGGCCAGTTTAGCTTTGGCAGATCTTTCAGAAAAGCTCGTCCCGTCAGCCGACTTTTCGTCTAAGGTTTTCTCGGCGTTGTCATCCTGGAGGTCTGCTTTCTTGGCCAGTTTAGCTTTGGCAGATCTTTCAGAAAAGCTCGTCCCGTCAGCCGATTTCTCGTCGAAGGTTTTCTCGGCGTTGTCCGCCTGAAGATCGCTTTCTTGGGGAGCTCGACTCTGGCAGATCTCTCAGAAAAGCTCGTCCCGTCAGCCGACCTTTCGTCTAAGGTTTTCTCGGCGTTGTCATCCTGGAGGTCTGCTTTCTTGGCCAGTTTAGCTTTGGCAGATCTTTCAGAAAAGCTCGTCCCGTCAGCCGACTTTTCGTCTAAGGTTTTCTCGGCGTTGTCATCCTGGAGGTCTGCTTTCTTGGCCAGTTTAGCTTTGGCAGATCTTTCAGAAAAGCTCGTCCCGTCAGCCGACTTTTCGTCTAAGGTTTTCTCGGCGTTGTCATCCTGGAGGTCTGCTTTCTTGGCCAGTTTAGCTTTGGCAGATCTTTCAGAAAAGCTCGTCCCGTCAGCCGATTTCTCGTCGAAGGTTTTTCTCGGCGTTGTCCGCCTGAAGATCGCCTTTCTTGGGGAGCTTGACTCTGGCAGATCTCTCAGAAAAGCTCGTCCCGTCAGCCGACCTTTCGTCTAAGGTTTTCTCGGCGTTGTCATCCTGGAGGTCTGCTTTCTTGGCCAGTTTAGCTTTGGCAGATCTTTCAGAAAAGCTCGTCCCGTCAGCCGACTTTCTCGTCGAAGGTTTTTTCGGCGCGTTGTCCGCCTGAAGATCGCCTTTCTTGGGGAGCTTGACTCTGGCAGATCTCTCAGAAAAGCTCGTCCCGTCAGCCGACCTTTCGTCTAAGGTTTTCTCGGCGTTGTCATCCTGGAGGTCTGCTTTCTTGGCCAGTTTAGCTTTGGCAGATCTTTCAGAAAAGCTCGTCCCGTCAGCCGACTTTTCGTCTAAGGTTTTCTCGGCGTTGTCATCCTGGAGGTCTGCTTTCTTGGCCAGTTTAGCTTTGGCAGATCTTTCAGAAAAGCTCGTCCCGTCAGCCGACTTTCGTCTAAGGTTTTCTCGGCGTTGTCATCCTGGAGGTCTGCTTTCTTGGCCAGTTTAGCTTTGGCAGATCTTTCAGAAAAGCTCGTCCCGTCAGCCGATTTCTCGTCGAAGGTTTTTTCGGCGTTGTCCGCCTGAAGATCGCCTTTCTTGGGGAGCTTGACTCTGGCAGATCTCTCAGAAAAGCTCGTCCCGTCAGCCGACCTTTCGTCTATGGTTTTCTCGGCGTTGTCATCCTGGAGGTCTGCTTTCTTGGCCAGTTTAGCTTTGGCAGATCTTTCAGAAAAGCTCGTCCCGTCAGCCGATTTCGTCGAAGGTTTTTTCCGGCGTTGTCCGCCTGAAGATCGCCTTTCTTGGGGAGCTTGACTCTGGCAGATCTCTCAGAAAAGCTCGTCCCGTCAGCCGACCTTTCGTCTAAGGTTTTCTCGGCGTTGTCATCCTGGAGGTCTGCTTTCTTGGCCAGTTTAGCTTTGGCAGATCTTTCAGAAAAGCTCGTCCCGTCAGCCGACTTTCGTCGAAGGTTTTCTCGGCGTTGTCATCCTGGAGGTCTGCTTTCTTGGCCAGTTTAGCTTTGGCAGATCTTTCAGAAAAGCTCGTCCCGTCAGCCGACTTTTCGTCTAAGGTTTTCTCGGCGTTGTCATCCTGGAGGTCTGCTTTCTTGGCCAGTTTAGCTTTGGCAGATCTTTCAGAAAAGCTCGTCCCGTCAGCCGACTTTTCGTCTAAGGTTTTCTCGGCGTTGTCATCCTGGAGGTCTGCTTTCTTGGCCAGTTTAGCTTTGGCAGATCTTTCAGAAAAGCTCGTCCCGTCAGCCGACTTTTCGTCTAAGGTTTTCTCGGCGTTGTCATCCTGGAGGTCTGCTTTCTTGGCCAGTTTAGCTTTGGCAGATCTTTCAGAAAAGCTCGTCCCGTCAGCCGATTTCTCGTCGAAGGTTTTCTCGGCGTTGTCCGCCTGAAGATCGCCTTTCTTGGGGAGCTTGACTCTGGCAGATCTCTCAGAAAAGCTCGTCCCGTCAGCCGACCTTTCGTCTAAGGTTTTCTCGGCGTTGTCATCCTGGAGGTCTGCTTTCTTGGCCAGTTTAGCTTTGGCAGATCTTTCAGAAAAGCTCGTCCCGTCAGCCGACTTTCGTCTAAGGTTTTCTCGGCGTTGTCATCCTGGAGGTCTGCTTTCTTGGCCAGTTTAGCTTTGGCAGATCTTTCAGAAAAGCTCGTCCCGTCAGCCGACTTTTTCGTCTAAGGTTTTCTCGGCGTTGTCATCCTGGAGGTCTGCTTTCTTGGCCAGTTTAGCTTTGGCAGATCTTTCAGAAAAGCTCGTCCCGTCAGCCGACTTCTTCGTCGAAGGTTTTCTCGGCGTTGTCCGCCTGAAGATCGCCTTTCTTGGGGAGCTTGACTCTGGCAGATCTCTCAGAAAAGCTCGTCCCGTCAGCCGACTTTTCGTCTAAGGTTTTCTCGGCGTTGTCATCCTGGAGGTCTGCTTTCTTGGCCAGTTTAGCTTTGGCAGATCTTTCAGAAAAGCTCGTCCCGTCAGCCGACTTTCGTCGAAGGTTTTTTCGGCGTTGTCCGCCTGAAGATCGCCCTTCTTGGGGAGCTTGACTCTGGCAGATCTCTCAGAAAAGCTCGTCCCGTCAGCCGACCTTTCGTCTATGGTTTTCTCGGCGTTGTCATCCTGGAGGTCTGCTTTCTTGGCCAGTTTAGCTTTGGCAGATCTTTCAGAAAAGCTCGTCCCGTCAGCCGATTTCTCGTCGAAGGTTTTTCTCGGCGTTGTCCGCCTGAAGATCGCCTTTCTTGGGGAGCTTGACTCTGGCAGATCTCTCAGAAAAGCTCGTCCCGTCAGCCGACTTTTCGTCTAAGGTTTTCTCGGCGTTGTCATCCTGGAGGTCTGCTTTCTTGGCCAGTTTAGCTTTGGCAGATCTTTCAGAAAAGCTCGTCCCGTCAGCCGACTTTTCGTCTAAGGTTTTCTCGGCGTTGTCATCCTGGAGGTCTGCTTTCTTGGCCAGTTTAGCTTTGGCAGATCTTTCAGAAAAGCTCGTCCCGTCAGCCGATTTCTCGTCGAAGGTTTTTCTCGGCGTTGTCCGCCTGAAGATCGCCTTTCTTGGGGAGCTTGACTCTGGCAGATCTCTCAGAAAAGCTCGTCCCGTCAGCCGACTTTTCGTCTAAGGTTTTCTCGGCGTTGTCATCCTGGAGGTCTGCTTTCTTGGCCAGTTTAGCTTTGGCAGATCTTTCAGAAAAGCTCGTCCCGTCAGCCGATTTCTCGTCGAAGGTTTTCTCGGCGTTGTCATCCTGGAGGTCTGCTTTCTTGGCCAGTTTAGCTTTGGCAGATCTTTCAGAAAAGCTCGTCCCGTCAGCCGATTTCTCGTCGAAGGTTTTCTTCGGCGTTGTCCGCCTGAAGATCGCCTTTCTTGGGGAGCTTGACTCTGGCAGATCTCTCAGAAAAGCTCGTCCCGTCAGCCGACTTTCGTCTAAGGTTTTCTCGGCGTTGTCATCCTGGAGGTCTGCTTTCTTGGCCAGTTTAGCTTTGGCAGATCTTTCAGAAAAGCTCGTCCCGTCAGCCGACTTTCGTCTAAGGTTTTCTCGGCGTTGTCATCCTGGAGGTCTGCTTTCTTGGCCAGTTTAGCTTTGGCAGATCTTTCAGAAAAGCTCGTCCCGTCAGCCGACTTTTCGTCTAAGGTTTTCTCGGCGTTGTCATCCTGGAGGTCTGCTTTCTTGGCCAGTTTAGCTTTGGCAGATCTTTCAGAAAAGCTCGTCCCGTCAGCCGACTTTTCGTCTAAGGTTTTCTCGGCGTTGTCATCCTGGAGGTCTGCTTTCTTGGCCAGTTTAGCTTTGGCAGATCTTTCAGAAAAGCTCGTCCCGTCAGCCGACTTTTCGTCTAAGGTTTTCTCGGCGTTGTCATCCTGGAGGTCTGCTTTCTTGGCCAGTTTAGCTTTGGCAGATCTTTCAGAAAAGCTCGTCCCGTCAGCCGATTTCTCGTCGAAGGTTTTTTCGGCGTTGTCCGCCTGAAGATCGCCTTTCTTGGGGAGCTTGACTCTGGCAGATCTCTCAGAAAAGCTCGTCCCGTCAGCCGACTTTTCGTCTAAGGTTTTCTCGGCGTTGTCATCCTGGAGGTCTGCTTTCTTGGCCAGTTTAGCTTTGGCAGATCTTTCAGAAAAGCTCGTCCCGTCAGCCGACTTTCTCGTCGAAGGTTTTCTCGGGCGTTGTCCGCCTGAAGATCGCCTTTCTTGGGGAGCTTGACTCTGGCAGATCTCTCAGAAAAGCTCGTCCCGTCAGCCGACCTTTCGTCTAAGGTTTTCTCGGCGTTGTCATCCTGGAGGTCTGCTTTCTTGGCCAGTTTAGCTTTGGCAGATCTTTCAGAAAAGCTCGTCCCGTCAGCCGACCTTTCGTCTAAGGTTTTCTCGGCGTTGTCATCCTGGAGGTCTGCTTTCTTGGCCAGTTTAGCTTTGGCAGATCTTTCAGAAAAGCTCGTCCCGTCAGCCGACTTCTCGTCGAAGGTTTTCTCGGCGTTGTCCGCCTGAAGATCGCCTTTCTTGGGGAGCTTGACTCTGGCAGATCTCTCAGAAAAGCTCGTCCCGTCAGCCGACCTTTCGTCTAAGGTTTTCTCGGCGTTGTCATCCTGGAGGTCTGCTTTCTTGGCCAGTTTAGCTTTGGCAGATCTTTCAGAAAAGCTCGTCCCGTCAGCCGACTTTCGTCTAAGGTTTTCTCGGCGTTGTCATCCTGGAGGTCTGCTTTCTTGGCCAGTTTAGCTTTGGCAGATCTTTCAGAAAAGCTCGTCCCGTCAGCCGATTTCTCGTCGAAGGTTTTTCTCGGCGTTGTCCGCCTGAAGATCGCCTTTCTTGGGGAGCTTGACTCTGGCAGATCTCTCAGAAAAGCTCGTCCCGTCAGCCGACCTTTCGTCTAAGGTTTTCTCGGCGTTGTCATCCTGGAGGTCTGCTTTCTTGGCCAGTTTAGCTTTGGCAGATCTTTCAGAAAAGCTCGTCCCGTCAGCCGACTTTCGTCTAAGGTTTTCTCGGCGTTGTCATCCTGGAGGTCTGCTTTCTTGGCCAGTTTAGCTTTGGCAGATCTTTCAGAAAAGCTCGTCCCGTCAGCCGACTTTCTCGTCGAAGGTTTTCTCGGCGTTGTCCGCCTGAAGATCGCCTTTCTTGGGGAGCTTGACTCTGGCAGATCTCTCAGAAAAGCTCGTCCCGTCAGCCGACCTTTCGTCTAAGGTTTTCTCGGCGTTGTCATCCTGGAGGTCTGCTTTCTTGGCCAGTTTAGCTTTGGCAGATCTTTCAGAAAAGCTCGTCCCGTCAGCCGACTTTTCGTCTAAGGTTTTCTCGGCGTTGTCATCCTGGAGGTCTGCTTTCTTGGCCAGTTTAGCTTTGGCAGATCTTTCAGAAAAGCTCGTCCCGTCAGCCGATTTCTCGTCGAAGGTTTTTCCGGCGTTGTCCGCCTGAAGATCGCCTTCTTGGGGAGCTTGACTCTGGCAGATCTCTCAGAAAAGCTCGTCCCGTCAGCCGACTTTTCGTCTAAGGTTTTCTCGGCGTTGTCATCCTGGAGGTCTGCTTTCTTGGCCAGTTTAGCTTTGGCAGATCTTTCAGAAAAGCTCGTCCCGTCAGCCGACCTTTCGTCGAAGGTTTTCTCGGCGTTGTCCGCCTGAAGATCGCCTTTCTTGGGGAGCTTGACTCTGGCAGATCTCTCAGAAAAGCTCGTCCCGTCAGCCGACTTTTCGTCTAAGGTTTTCTCGGCGTTGTCATCCTGGAGGTCTGCTTTCTTGGCCAGTTTAGCTTTGGCAGATCTTTCAGAAAAGCTCGTCCCGTCAGCCGACTTTTCGTTCTAAGGTTTTCTCGGCGTTGTCATCCTGGAGGTCTGCTTTCTTGGCCAGTTTAGCTTTGGCAGATCTTTCAGAAAAGCTCGTCCCGTCAGCCGACCTTTCGTCTATGGTTTTCTCGGCGTTGTCATCCTGGAGGTCTGCTTTCTTGGTCAGTTTAGCTTTGGCAGATCTTTCAGAAAAGCTCGTCCCGTCAGCCGACTTTCTCGTCGAAGGTTTTCTCGGCGTTGTCCGCCTGAAGATCGCCTTTCTTGGGGAGCTTGACTCTGGCAGATCTCTCAGAAAAGCTCGTCCCGTCAGCCGATTTTTCGTCTAAGGTTTTCTCGGCGTTGTCCGCCTGGAGATCGCCTTTCTTGGGGAGCTTGACTCTGGCAGATCTTTCAGAAAAGCTCGTCCCGTCAGCCGACTTTTCGTCTAAGGTTTTCTCGGCGTTGTCATCCTGGAGGTCTGCTTTCTTGGCCAGTTTAGCTTTGGCAGATCTTTCAGAAAAGCTCGTCCCGTCAGCCGACTTTCGTCTAAGGTTTTCTCGGCGTTGTCATCCTGGAGGTCTGCTTTCTTGGCCAGTTTAGCTTTGGCAGATCTTTCAGAAAAGCTCGTCCCGTCAGCCGACTTTTCGTCTAAGGTTTTCTCGGCGTTGTCATCCTGGAGGTCTGCTTTCTTGGCCAGTTTAGCTTTGGCAGATCTTTCAGAAAAGCTCGTCCCGTCAGCCGACTTTTCGTCTAAGGTTTTCTCGGCGTTGTCATCCTGGAGATCTGCTTTCTTGGCCAGTTTAGCTTTGGCAGATCTTTCAGAAAAGCTCGTCCCGTCAGCCGACTTTCGTCTAAGGTTTTCTCGGCGTTGTCATCCTGGAGGTCTGCTTTCTTGGCCAGTTTAGCTTTGGCAGATCTTTCAGAAAAGCTCGTCCCGTCAGCCGACTTTTCGTCGAAGGTTTTCTCGGCGTTGTCATCCTGGAGGTCTGCTTTCTTGGCCAGTTTAGCTTTGGCAGATCTTTCAGAAAAGCTCGTCCCGTCAGCCGACTTCTCGTCGAAGGTTTTCTCGGCGTTGTCCGCCTGAAGATCGCCTTTCTTGGGGAGCTTGACTCTGGCAGATCTCTCAGAAAAGCTCGTCCCGTCAGCCGACTTTTCGTCTAAGGTTTTCTCGGCGTTGTCCGCCTGAAGATCGCCTTTCTTGGGGAGCTTGACTCTGGCAGATCTTTCAGAAAAGCTCGTCCCGTCAGCCGACTTTTCGTCTAAGGTTTTCTCGGCGTTGTCATCCTGGAGGTCTGCTTTCTTGGCCAGTTTAGCTTTGGCAGATCTTTCAGAAAAGCTCGTCCCGTCAGCCGACTTTCGTCTAAGGTTTTCTCGGCGTTGTCATCCTGGAGGTCTGCTTTCTTGGCCAGTTTAGCTTGGCAGATCTTTCAGAAAAGCTCGTCCCGTCAGCCGACTTTCGTCTAAGGTTTTCTCGGCGTTGTCATCCTGGAGGTCTGCTTTCTTGGCCAGTTTAGCTTTGGCAGATCTTTCAGAAAAGCTCGTCCCGTCAGCCGATTTTCGTCGAAGGTTTTCTCGGCGTTGTCCGCCTGAAGATCGCCTTTCTTGGGGAGCTTGACTCTGGCAGATCTCTCAGAAAAGCTCGTCCCGTCAGCCGACTTCTTCGTCTAAGGTTTTCTCGGCGTTGTCATCCTGGAGGTCTGCTTTCTTGGCCAGTTTAGCTTTGGCAGATCTTTCAGAAAAGCTCGTCCCGTCAGCCGACCTTTCGTCTAAGGTTTTCTCGGCGTTGTCATCCTGGAGGTCTGCTTTCTTGGCCAGTTTAGCTTTGGCAGATCTTTCAGAAAAGCTCGTCCCGTCAGCCGACTTTCGTCTAAGGTTTTCTCGGCGTTGTCATCCTGGAGGTCTGCTTTCTTGGCCAGTTTAGCTTTGGCAGATCTTTCAGAAAAGCTCGTCCCGTCAGCCGACTTTTCGTCTAAGGTTTTCTCGGCGTTGTCATCCTGGAGGTCTGCTTTCTTGGCCAGTTTAGCTTTGGCAGATCTTTCAGAAAAGCTCGTCCCGTCAGCCGATTTCTCGTCGAAGGTTTTCTCGGCGTTGTCCGCCTGAAGATCGCCTTTCTTGGGGAGCTTGACTCTGGCAGATCTCTCAGAAAAGCTCGTCCCGTCAGCCGACCTTTCGTCTAAGGTTTTCTCGGCGTTGTCATCCTGGAGGTCTGCTTTCTTGGCCAGTTTAGCTTTGGCAGATCTTTCAGAAAAGCTCGTCCCGTCAGCCGATTTCTCGTCGAAGGTTTTTTCGGCGTTGTCCGCCTGAAGATCGCCTTTCTTGGGGAGCTTGACTCTGGCAGATCTCTCAGAAAAGCTCGTCCCGTCAGCCGATTTCTCGTCGAAGGTTTTTCTCGGCGTTGTCCGCCTGAAGATCGCCTTTCTTGGGGAGCTTGACTCTGGCAGATCTCTCAGAAAAGCTCGTCCCGTCAGCCGACTTTCTCGTCGAAGGTTTTTCGGCGTTGTCCGCCTGAAGATCGCCTTTCTTGGGGAGCTTGACTCTGGCAGATCTCTCAGAAAAGCTCGTCCCGTCAGCCGACCTTTCGTCTAATGGTTTTCTCGGCGTTGTCATCCTGGAGGTTTGCTTTCTTGGCCAGTTTAGCTTTGGCAGATCTTTCAGAAAAGCTCGTCCCGTCAGCCGATTTCTCGTCGAAGGTTTTTTCGGCGTTGTCCGCCTGAAGATCGCCTTTCTTGGGGAGCTTGACTCTGGCAGATCTCTCAGAAAAGCTCGTCCCGTCAGCCGATTTCTCGTCGAAGGTTTTTCCGGCGTTGTCCGCCTGAAGATCGCCTTTCTTGGGGAGCTTGACTCTGGCAGATCTCTCAGAAAAGCTCGTCCCGTCAGCCGACCTTTCGTCTAAGGTTTTCTCGGCGTTGTCATCCTGGAGGTCTGCTTTCTTGGCCAGTTTAGCTTTGGCAGATCTTTCAGAAAAGCTCGTCCCGTCAGCCGATTTCTCGTCGAAGGTTTTCTCGGCGTTGTCCGCCTGAAGATCGCCTTTCTTGGGGAGCTTGACTCTGGCAGATCTCTCAGAAAAGCTCGTCCCGTCAGCCGATTTCTCGTCGAAGGTTTTCTCGGCGTTGTCCGCCTGAAGATCGCCTTTCTTGGGGAGCTTGACTCTGGCAGATCTCTCAGAAAAGCTCGTCCCGTCAGCCGACTTCTTCGTCTAAGGTTTTCTCGGCGTTGTCATCCTGGAGGTCTGCTTTCTTGGCCAGTTTAGCTTTGGCAGATCTTTCAGAAAAGCTCGTCCCGTCAGCCGACTTTTCGTCTAAGGTTTTCTCGGCGTTGTCATCCTGGAGGTCTGCTTTCTTGGCCAGTTTAGCTTTGGCAGATCTTTCAGAAAAGCTCGTCCCGTCAGCCGACTTCTTCGTCGAAGGTTTTCTCGGCGTTGTCATCCTGGAGGTCTGCTTTCTTGGGGAGTTTAGCTTTGGCAGATCTTTCAGAAAAGCTCGTCCCGTCAGCCGACCTTTCGTCTAAGGTTTTCTCGGCGTTGTCATCCTGGAGGTCTGCTTTCTTGGCCAGTTTAGCTTTGGCAGATCTTTCAGAAAAGCTCGTCCCGTCAGCCGACTTTTCGTCTAAGGTTTTCTCGGCGTTGCCGTTCTGAACATTTGTTGGGTCTCGTGAGGCATTGCCGTCCCTATGTCGGTCGATGGGCTCAGCGTTTCTTGCTTTACTAGATAACACAGCATTTCCGTGTATACTGTCTTGCCTCAGCCTTCGACTTACTTGCAAAGATCTGCTCTTTTTTGAGAAATCTACGTTGATATGGCATTCATTCCAGCTTGTGGATGAAGTTGCGGAACTCTCTTCAACATGATACACGCTAATGTTCTCGATGGATTTATCGAATCCACAATTCAAATCAATCTCGCTAGATGGTATGGTTTCCTCCATGTGCGCTCCATCGTTGAGCTTCAATATGACAGTACCTAGGGAATGCTCAACATCCTTGGACGCCTCAGAGCGCAATTCATCGAGAAAAGCTTCTTGAGGAAAGTTGGCTCCATCCCCGGCAAGTGCTGGAAGGGGGAGGCTCTGGGTCAGACGCTTTTGTGCTTTTGAAATTTTCTTTGGCAACTTCTGTCGTGGCGAAGACGCCGTCACTTCACTTTCCTCAATTCTGAAACACGAGCGTAATCAAAACAATAACACGTACTGAGTCACTTAATAGTGAACGGATATATTGAGAGATGTCCGTACACTTTTGTAACGTAAACTCAAACACAACATACGCGATGGTTTCCGTTCCATCATCTTGTGCCTTCAGAATTCGATCTGAAAGGAGAAAAACATATTCGATTTTGCGGCCGCGAATTTTCAAGAGGCTCATATAATGTCAGTATATGTTTGATTTTTGAGGAAGCTTTTGAAACTGCTTCCAATCATGGTGCATTTCATAGCTGACAAAGCTCACTGATAGAACTTTTAGCCACGATTTAAAGCAGCGTGTTATAGTATTCTATTATATTAGGTTGTCTCATAAGTGAGTGTCGCTTTTTTTCAACCAAAAAATTTTCATCTAAATCCCCATGCTTTTACATCGTTTTATATACCATTCGAAAGAGAATTGTCTGCTCTACAAATGCTGTGTTCCCTTCCACCTCTGTTCCAGGGTTTTCAAATTTTAGGCCTGCGAAATGGGAGGTCCAGCCGACAAAAATTGACCAAACCGACAACTAGCTCTAACTTTATTTTCCCTGGGGAGAAATCAATCAATGATGTACCCTCTACTTACTCATGACCTCTTCTAAACATTCCACTCTTAGGTTGCCGAAAAAGCTTTGCCGTGTTTCTTTTCGAATTGGCTGACCGATAAGCCATAGCAATTTTCAAATTAAAATTGTTCCTCGTAAACGCCATTGTTTCATATCGAGTGGTGTTCCTTTTGTGAGCACTTCTTCTGCTCTATTCGCTCATTTGTTTTGTTTTCTGTTTGTTGGGAATTAGTTCGAATTTTAGGTGTTTCGGATAAGGTGCTTTACCGCGAAAGTGACCACATTTCTTTGAAAAAAATTATCCCTTAGAAAATGAGAAAATCAACCAGTCGTACATTCCTAACTTAGTCATGACTTGTTCTTCAAATTCAACCAGTTCTTCAACGTCTCGGCCATAAAAAAATTTCGACCTAGATCACAGGTAATGGTGCTCGATCGTCGAGTTCTGGTTGAAAAACCAGCTCTGGAAATTGAACGACGCGATTTGTAGGAAAACCTAATAGTGTAATGTTAGAAGAGGTCATGCATAAGTAGAGGGTACATCATTGATTGATTTCTCCCAAGGGAAAATAAAGTTAGAGCTAGTTGTCGGTTTGGTCAATTTTTGTCGGCTGGACCTCCCATTTCGCAGGCCTAAAATTTGAAAACCTGGAACAGAGGTGGAAGAGGAACATAGCATCTTGTAGAGCAGACAATTCTCTTTCGAATGGTATATGACACGATGTAAAAGCATGGGGATTTAGATGAAAATTTTTTGGTTGAAAAAAAGCGACACTGTTTATGAGACAACCTAATATTATGATATTCGGCCGGTCTTAATATATATTATAGTGCTGATATATCTCTGATGAAGTACCGTTTTTCTCTTTTTAACGCAATGGTTAGAGGTTGCTTTGGGAAAAAGAGTACGTTGAAATCGTCTTACGACATCCTTAAGCTTACAACATTCGAATTTCTATGAGAAGGAGAAACCAGCATGGATACGAGACAGCATTATGATGAACACAATTGTTTCCATTTCAGACCAAAAGGTTGTTTTTTTCAGCAGATTCGTGGTCCTTCAGAGGTAGGCGCTCAAAACGGCGAATACTTTATGACCGACATAATACCATGAACTCAGTAACAAGCTCCCATAATATTACACAGGGATACTACGAAAGAGCCGTGATTTTTTTTTGAATGTTCCGCAACCAGAACCCGATGGTTACCGCTATCTCGTTGAATCTAGGACCGTAACTACTTGTCGCCGGGATACTGGAAGTGACAGGGTGTTGAAATCAGCCCGTTAAGTGTGGGGTATATCAATGATTTGATTTTTGGTTCTTTAAGGGGAAATTTTTTTTGAAGTGATGTTGCCATTTTGATAGATCAAGCACCTTAGTACGTAAACCTGAACACTACCAGAACCACAGTGAAAGAAAAAGCGATATATGTCTTGGGTTGGTCTATAAGTCTTGCAACAAATTACATTTAATGCTAGAAAATTTTTGTGAGAACTCCGAAAATTCCGCAACATATTTGTTGACGTAGCATCCACCTTTGCAATTTCAGCCAACCATCCAGCTCGTTGTCTCGCTACTTGTTATGGATATTACACCGATTTCGCGAAGTCTTCGTGCCCTTAATTTTTACGAGTACTGCTTGGAATGTTCCGCAAGTCATGCTAGACCAAGGGTTAGCCAGAAGATGGGCGAGGGCACGCTTTTTGAAAATGACCCACACTCCAACCACCGTGTAATTGGCAATCATGATGCTTACCTGACGCTGTTGAAAAGGGATCTGGATAGAGTATCGATCATTTGCTAGAGCGATTCCGATGCGACAAGGAGACAGCACTGTGGCATCTCCAAAGACTTGTGAAGATCCGAAAATGTAGAGTTTGGTCCCACATGCCTTGAGCCCGATTCAGCTCCAAACACGATCTGACACCGTTATGTTCAAGTCGACTTACTATGGATTCTACGATTGACCATCCATCACATTTGCCGAAGATGAGGAGTGGGTACAGTGTGCTAACAAATGAACAAGCGGCGGTAGTCCAGCTCAAACGCTTCGGGAGTTCTTACTGCTTAAGTTCAACCTCGTCCAAGTAGGGCCTTCTCGGATTTTTGGTGGAACACGAGAGGAGTTAGCTCTGGAAACCCCTACGTGTAGATGTCGCAGTCAACGCGAAAGTCAACTATCCACAGCTCGAATGCAACGCTTTCAATACGAAAGAAAAACAAGGCAAAGTTTGCTTTTGTATGACACCGTTGAACCACCTCTTGCTAAGAAAATCAGGAAAATTTTGGGACTCTGGACGGAGAGTTCTTCCGTATCCACCTTATAGCCCTGACCTCGTGCCAAATATGCCCTGCTTCCCTCTCCAGACCACCTCCTAGAGAAGAAATCTCATCCTAACCATCATGATGTCAAAATCGACATCTGATCTTTCTTCGATCAGAATTCAGTGGAGTTCTACAAGAGAGGCATCGAACAGCTTCTAGTGCGTTGGCAATAGGTTGTAGATATTGATGGTGTGTATTATGCTGGATGAATGGAACAAAAAGATAATAAAAATATTAAAATCAAAATTAGCCAGTTTGTTGCAAGACCTTATGGACCAACCCAATATTTCATAGAGCAATAGAAGCGCTTTCAAATAATTGTGAAATAATGTGTAAGGAGGAAGTTCAGAGTGAAAATTCTAAAAAAAAAACTATCACGGTATAGCTCATTCAATAGTGGATTGTCAAAAAGAGGTTGTGACTAAGCACTGAGTGATTTACTGATAAGTTCTCCAGGAATATACAAGATTGATTTTGTTGCCGGGTTAGCCACTTTTCATTTTCCGAACCTCCAGTATGCAAGCCTGCGCTTTAGTTCCAATGGCCATACAGGGTGGCTACTAAATATTAGCGCATTGTTTATTAATCACCAGCAAGATAATGGCACTCAGCTTCTTCTCTAGCGTCCCCCCTTACGAGTCACGGTCACCTTCTCCAGTTGATGGCAGCCTTGTATCTTTATTACGCCAATCCCAACTCACTGATGAGCTCCGGTCATTGACGAAATAAGGTGAAGGTTGAAGGTTCGTGTGAGGAAGGAGCAAAGGTGAGGGGTGAAGGTTCTTTTAAGGAAGGAGCGTAACGAATCATTCCAATTATTTCGTTTATAATGGTTTTTCCTAATTCTCAAACTTAACAAATACATAGGTAAATAAGAAGATCCGCATATTACATTCGAACCTCGAGGCATTTCAAGGTCTCCCATGTTCACTCTTGGCATGCTGTTCTAGAAATAGTAGTTGGACTGGCTTTTCTGGTTGCGCACTTGAATACAACCAAGGTCTTTGCCGAAAACTCTATGCAGTCTCTTATTCCTTTATAGTTTATTGCTAACCAGTTTGGCTGCGCACGCATTCGCGTGCATGAGACGGGGCTGCAGCGGTAAAATCGGGCCCATCAGTATTTTTGTCTTGATTTTAGCTTTCTGCTCGGTACATCTTACTTACGCCGCAAACTCCGCCCACATCCGGGTGTGCCACGCCCAGCGTTCACATTCAACCTCTACTCCTACTTTCACCTCTGGCGTATTTTTTTTCAGGTCTCTAAGTCATCTCGGAGCCGAATAATGTGCTCTTGGAAAATGGCGGTTATGAGACACGAATGAATTATTTGTATTTAATAGCGCAGATGAGG